GTTGTGTACGTGACACGTCTGCAGCCATGTACTTGTGTTACAGGCATGTATGTAGCTCAAATTCAGGACTGGATGTAACAAGTTTTCTGGCATAGAAAATTGTATTTGTTTTTAGAATTAGCTGTCTATTTCTATATATATTAGTACACGTGCCTGTCAATTCGACCGTACAATCGAGACATATTGATTGACAAGGATAAAAAATAGCCTATATTCCTCTTGACTCAAAAACTAAGTGAAACTGTTTTTATATGTTGAATTGTTACAGCACCTCATATAATACCTACATCTTATTTGTATAAATTTCTTTTTCACATTTATACCTTTTTTTGTATGCAATAAGGAATAACGTACATAACATCTTGACTAATTCAAATTAAATTTGATATAGGTATGATAGTTTGAAATTAGAGAGATCATATTTTACTAGAATTTATATGAGTATTTTTATGGTTTTTACAATAATCACGAGTTCAAACCCTGCAGAAGACAAACATTTGTATTTATAAGATTTGGGTGTTTTCAATAAGTACATGCATGCTATATTTATTAATTGTGTATCCCCCGCATTGATAGTTTTGCTTATTTTAGGATTAGATGTCACATGATCATATTTTTTTCATTACATTTTCATTTCTAACATAACTTTTACAATTATGAAACTCTGACACGCTCTTCAGTACTTTTATAAAGGTTCCATAATACTTTCTAAAAAAGAGATTTAATTAAAAAAGTAGTTTCATTACATTAAAAGTGGGACGAAACAATTTTCCAGCTAGCCTTGGAAAGCCTGGAACTACTGCTGCCCTAAGCCGGGGCCTGGATGGGATGCAGAGCAACCTATTTGGCGCTGTGCCAATGCGGGCAGCCTTGAACATGTCGGTCAAACGCATGCTCCAAAAGCTAAATGATAAAGACCATTAACTTTTATAGACTAAATATCTGCTTTTATCATGAATTCTTAGTTAAAATGTAGCTTTTGCATAGACGGTTATAAGACAGTTTCTTGCAGACATCACGCAGAAATATTTTTTTTTTTATACCACGTAGGTAGTAAACAAGCATACGGCCCATCTGATGGTAAACAGTTACCGCAGCCTATGGACGCCTGAAACACCAGGGGTGTCACATGGGCGTTGCCGACCCTTAAGAAACCTTAATATACCCGTCTTGAAAAACCCCATGCTGTAGTCTCTCGAGAGAATCTCGACAGGTAGTTCATTCCACAATCTAAGTGTACGCGAGAGGAAGCTCCTCTGAAACCGCACTATCCGAGACCACTTAGGTTCCAGTATGTGGGGATGAATTCCCTGTCGATGGCGAGCAGTGCGATGATAAAAGGTAGGCATCATGTCAAACAATTCATCAGAACACAGTCCGTGGAGAACGTCTGCATTTAAGAGTAAACAATACATTGAATTACTTGATAAACTAAATAATACATTTATAAAAAAACTTACTAATAGTTATATTGTAACATATAATATTATTTGTCAATCATGTTCATGAAATACCTAGTGTCTAAAACATACGATTTACGAATACGTACATACTCATAAAAAATAACAATAAAATTCAACCTATTACACTATTCCTTGAGCATTAGACAAGGGTTACGTACTACGTGTCTATGTTATATTTAACGGGATACGGAATCTGCAAAGTCAAATACCCGGGACCGAAAAACATAAAACAAATCTCGGTTGTATTTGTTTTTCTTACTTTCCTATATTTAGGCTAAGATATTGAGTCGAGATAATATTTAGCTACGTTTACTTTGTACACATATGTTTCTTTATTAATTTTAACAATGAAACTATGATGAAATAAAATGAAAAGGAATTTAAATTACATACGTAGAATTGAATCTCATTATGTTTTCCCTGATCTTTTAGAAATAATAAAACATTAAAATAAATAATTTTACCTACCGACTGCTAGATCTATTTGATATAACATGTTTCAACTATCCAAGATAACTGCGTTCTCATAGAGTTTATCAGATCAGTTGAATTTATAAGATACAAACACTTCTCAACAAAATATATTTTACCTTTAGAAATATCGTAAACTCTCTAAATAATAGAAAGCAAAGTCACTGTTTCCTCTGCCTTTTTCTCTGACATGTCATAAACAAAGTCACTAGCAGTAGTAATATTTTTATTTATCGTTTTAAGGTAAAATAGTATATAGTAGTAATATTAGTAATTTAACTACTATACCGTTATACTAAGATAAACCTTACAAATTAGCTATTAGTTGAGAGAAATAGTGAAATAAAGTCAGAATAATCTCTCTGGGGCAAAAAAACAGTACGTTAAAATTAAAAGGGGATAGAATTTACTTTTTTTGAAGATTTCATTTTTCAAATTCTGGTGCGAAATAATTCAAATAATATTAGTTCTCAACAGTTTCAATGAAAAAGACCCCGTTTTCATTTTATACGAAGCAGAAAACTTAGGTACGAAACTTCGCAAATCCGACCCCAGAGACCCAACGACGGAGGTATTTCAAAACAGTCCAAATTTGTCGGTCTCACAAGAATAATTGTTTGTTGGATTCTTACTAAACTTTATTGTACGATTTATCTTTTAAAGTGTCTCAAAAGTTATTATCTTTTGTAGCTTAACAAATACATAAATGGAACCAGTTTTTATTATGAAGCTTTGTAATTCCGGTTAAGGAATTTTCTTTTAGGTCGGAGAACTTTATAGAAAATGTATATATGTCGGAAAAATACAAAACATAATAACAAATCTTTCCTTTCTGTTCAAATATTCGACAATTATTTGTTAAATAAGTCCATTAAATTTAGTACTGTTATACTAAAGTGTCATTATAATATTATACGAAAATATATCATTATTTATGTTTTATTTTATTTTTAAAAAATGTGCTAATTTTGCATTGCATATTCTATATACAACTGAATTCTAATCTCAGTGACATTTTCAATTTTGAGTTTTATTTAGGTGAAAGTCTTACACGCGAATAGAAAGGACAAGAGCCTTAAACCCTTCAATTCACGTCATGGTTCTGCCATCGTATTTGTAATGTAGATTCTGTTGAATAGCAAGATATTTTATACAAAATAATATTGTTCTTATTATAATAATAGCATATTTAGGTAGACTTTGAAGAAAATGCAGCGTATGAACAACAGCGATTTTTATACATTCATTTAATTAGACGATTTCCTTTTATTTCTATGAAATTCGTTGTGAGCCATTCGATGTTCATTATTGCATCTTCGCAAATTAATAGAATACAATAAATAAAATTTCATTATTATTGGTATAACAAAATTGATATACCTATTTTTATAATGGTCAAAAATCTGTATTTTAATGGTATACGAACTAAATACAACGTGGACCTTCCACGTTGTATTTAGTTCGTATACCATTAAATTTACATTATTAAATTATTAAATATTTAATAACTGTATCATTATAATTGGTAAAGATTTAAATAAATCTCTATGTAAAGAACCCAAAAAGAAGGAAACCCATTTGACTGGGTGTTCGAATAATCTACCATATAACCGCTAAACATTCATCTGAATAAAGTCAGCCACAAAGTATTCATTTATCAAAATGAATCTTGGACCACCCATTCAAGTCTGAAGCTTTATTGGTATTCAAATCTTGACAGAAATTGATGTAATCTGCTTTATTTGACTAAAATCAAACAGGGCCTTCACTCTGAATATACCTTAATGTTAGGACAGTGACCGTGATCCCTATTAGTACTATAAATGCAAAAGTGTGTTTGTTTGTTTGATACCCTTTCTCGATAAAACGGAAGAATTATTTTTTTTAATTAAAGGAAGATTGCATCAAGTATCGAGGTCAGACGTAGGCTATCGATTATCTTAAATGAGAGTAGTCGAAAGTCATGGGTTGTGCATAAAATTAATTGTCCAAATTGTGATGATAATTCTTTTTAATATAGTATTTATGGAATCTTGGTATTCTTTGATTACTCCATAAGTGGTGTAAATATTAATAGAGTTTTATAATCGTAATACAACTAAAGTTTTTAACCATTGTTATGGTTCTGATATCAAGATAAATTTTATTCATAATGAAGTATTTATTGTACGAATCTATAATTGAGACAAGGTATTGTCTTTTTCAGAGGAAATGTTGTTACTAAAATTCTAACAGTAGATAGAATTGATGGGGAAAAGAGATGCGCTGAAAAAGGCATATATTATGTAAACAAATGTAATTTAGAAAAACTAAAGAATAATGCGTTAACCTGGTATCGTAGTAACGCATTGTCGAGAAAAGCTATAGATTAAAATAAATGTAAAGAGTAAAAAACCTTAATTGTGAGGACGGATTGTGATTAATCATCATTATTTAATCAAAAAACGGCAGCCTTTTAGATTACTACTAGATTACTACTTAGATCTTCGCTGAAATTTTACTAAACCTTAGATGGAAGTCAATCTTATCTACATATATATTACGTTACATATACATTATAATATACAACTGTAACATACATAAATGTATATTACTTCAGTAAGTATGATGTCCTCTGCAGTGTCGTATGACCATGACATAACTCTCTAAAACACGGAGCAAATAAAAAATAGCTATAAATTAACGAAAAATTTAATATTTAGGCTGGAATAGAACATATATTTTATTTTTTTTATAGAAAACAATATAAATATAAATGTGGCAGAAATAAATAAAAAATGTAGTGATATAAAAAAATACTATATATAAACTAAAGTTAAATTTAAACTGTAATTTTATAAAATTAAAATATACACAAAAAAAACTCAATACTATAGTGAAAATAATGATTAAAGAACGAAAAAAATAACAAACATTGGTTTAAGAATGGATTTGTAGAGTCTCGTAGCTCACGACGTAGCGGCTCGCAAAGACGTAGATAAATCGTAGTCGTCTACGAAAAATACAATTGCCTACGAAAAACGTAGGCAATTGTATTTATCGTTTCGAGATTAATTTACAACTTACCTATGAAGTTCATTTCTTCGGTTCTTCTATCACACTATTGTACAATAAATATACTATATCTAACCTATCGTCCCATTACAGGGTTCTAATATAAAAATACTTTTAGTTTTCTTTTTGAGCACCAAATTTTGCTATTACATTAGAATCATGATACGTATCGTTAAGACTAACTAGTACTAAGAGATTAGAAGAGAAGAGAGTTTACGAGATCGTGAAAAGCTATGACATGTTGGTTTGTCGCGAACGACGTCCGCTTTCCGCGAATGCCGACTGGCTAATGCTGTACAGAGTTTTCCGCACCAGTATTTAAACCTATTGCGTATAATACGACCTCACCCACACATTGGAAATGTAATATAGTGTTTTCTCGCTCGCACTCATGCGCGATTTTAAGAGGGTGCACAGGGGAAATTGTTCTACCATTGTCACTCAGTAATGGGGACGGAAAAGTTGATTCCCGTCAAATTGTGCTTCTATAATGATCGTTGTAATTATCGTTATTGGGATTCTATAGCTATGATTTTAAGACTTTTTCATAGCAGAGTATTCCCTCAAGAGAATAGTCCCAATTTGCGTAAAATTCCTTTTGATATTACAAAGAGATTTTTCTCGTAATCTTTTAAGGAAAAACACGCGTTATTTAAATGAATATCTATTATTCTGTCTAGGTGGGGTTTTAGCGTTGGAATAGCTAGTTCAATCGCCAATACAACCGGCTTCGACAAATAAAAAGTAAGTAAGAATTATTGCACTCATATTTCATTGGCCCCTTAACACACACATTTATACACCGAACACTATCTGCGCATGTGTGCGCGTGTAAGAACAAAGGAGCCGCTGCCGGGAGGCGTGGCGTCTGGTAAGTGTGAGTGTGTTAAATCTTTTATAGGTCGGTGCATTAAGTAATTTACTATTACATATTGCATTTGACGATTCTGGTTAAAATGTATTACGGGGATTTTGTATTTTGTACAAACTAGTTTTATTATATTGGGCAATTCAAAACTTAGTTAATATTTTTGGGTGGGCATTTTCCTATCTAATAAAACAAAAGCTATTATAAATTTTAATTGGTTATTACGATGATTAATGTTATTAAAAAGAAAAAGTTAAAAGTTATTTTAATGCATGACCCAATGTAGCAAGTTATGTGGATACGAACTGTATCACGGTTCTTCATAAAATAAAATAGGCAGTATTATTAATATATATTTTAATTCATTATGTGTCTGTTTGCATAAGATTTTAAATTTGATTGTCGGTTGCGAGAGTTTAGGAAACAGACCTTTGTTGTCTCTAATTTGGGTATTCTAGATAGTACTTTAGGTATACGTTATCTGGTTTAGTTTGCACAAGCTATTTATACAAGACTAGGATAATATAATTGGTTCTGCTGTCTAATATTCATAATTTATGGAATAGTATATGTAAATGTGTTTTCTAAACTGATTATGACCTCGGAATTTAAAATTTAATTAACTCAATATGACGTTTACTTTCAATTAAGAATTTAACGGTTGAGTTTTAATATAACTTCATTATTAATTGTATAATCCAATCGTATTACTCATCATCATCATTATTAGCCCATTTCTGGACATAGACCTCGTCTAAGGCATTTGTTTTTCTAATCGAAATGTTAATTATAAAAAAAGCGATTAATAATTTTTTCTTTAAATCATAATTTTAATTTTTACTGATTAATGTTAATATATTTCTGATTTTTTAAAATATCTACTTCATTTATCATAATATTCAATTTCTATACTACTAACTAAAAAAAAAATTACATACATGAGTACATATTATTCTATTATACAAATATAAATCTGTCTATTATTGAACAGTTCATAACTTATAAAGTCAGTTGCTTGATGGAATAAGCTATAAAAGAAATAGACAATACTAGATTAAGAATCTGCAGCAATCTCACCTGTTAATTTGTCAAAATATGATGAAGATCAACCTGACCCCACCCAATTTTGATGAGAAGATTGCGAAGGGTTCTAGTTCATTAAAAAAATTCCTGCCAAGAAACTTCTGACCTACTTGCACTAACATGTATGTGGACTTTAATATAATATTCAAATTAATTGCATCTCTTAACACGATATCCTAGAATGGTATGCGCGACTCGCGCATTGCATTCTAATGAGGTTCTCGAGTAGAAAAGAACTAGCAATATATGAAAATTAAATATCTAATAGAAATACTGAATATTACAGTTATAATACAAAGTGTTTTTGCTATTATACGTTACCTTACTGCAGTATGCATAAATAGAAACTAACATAGCAAGAGACCAGAATTTATAAGATATTTTTTATCCGTTCATAAATGTATTTTCAGCTTCAGAAATATAGTACATCGAATATGAGTAAATCAATTGTCTGCCAACAACAGCGAGTGAAATGTAAAGTGAAAATCGATTATTTTAACTCAAATTTTAATCGGCACATTATACCTCCAGTAGTCATTGGTAATTATTTAAATTTATGTTGTCAGTTTTTTAAGAAAATTATATATATTTTTCTAAATTTGTACTATAAAAAATATTGAATAATAATCTTAAAAAAATAATATTTAGATACAAACATGTTATTAGATTCTCATATACCTAGTGCCATCTAATATCAAATAAACAGTACACAGAGGGAGAACTATATAAATGTAGGTTAGATATACCTAACCTAAATAATTATTGCCCTTTTTAAATCATCATATCATAATTCAAATGCCAGGTTTGGAAGTTGTTTACGCTGTTGAGAATGAAATAGGAATTTTGTGCGTATTCGACAAAAGCCAAGCACGTATGAACTCAACAAACATAATGTTATCATCTTGTTATGTAGAGACGCAGGAAATATTACTGTAATATATTTTTTTAACTCAGCGTCTTAAAAAACAATAGTTTATAAATTTTCTTATATTTTTGAAAATGAAGGATTTATATTTTTATTTAATTGGAATTGCAAAATGATGACCCAATTATGAGCTAATTCGGCTATATGTGTACGTGAAAGTCTGCTACGTCACATTAACATGTGCCATCCATGTTACCATTCATGCGTTTCTATTACAAAGGACTATGATGGCTTACCTTAAAGCTTAATGACGTTTTGAGATCGATGGTGACATGAATTGTCATGATTGATTTGTAAGTTTCAAACAGTAGGTTCAATGACCTCTAACTAATACTACCTAATAAAATAACGGAATCAATTTTTATTTGCAACGAGTACAAGGTGAATGTATTTTGGTATTTTAATATATCATACAGTAACAATGTCCACAAAATCATTCGTATTCGTATTATATTCCAGATTGGTAACTGGAGTCGCAAACAAATCGGTGGTCCACTTGATGTAAAATCGCATCGTATGAAATGTATGACGGATATCTCGTGTGTGGTAGGCACCTTTCATGTTCATACATGAATGGCACCACAGACTCGCTTACTGACCAGTAAGATGCCGTACGTTTATATCCTGTAATTTTACTGTAATTTTTAATACTTCAAAACGTTCACAGCTTATAAAGTCAGTTACTTGATGGAAACTTCACTTAGTTTCCATCAAAAAGTCATCTAAGTCAGAAGTATTTAGATGGGCTCTGTATGGAATCTACTTCAGTGAAATTATTATTACATGTGATTACAGTATTCTTACTGATATAAAAAAAACCCTATATTATTTATGCTAGTAAAATTACTGAGGTTAATAATATACGAGTAATACCTGAAGGTACTCTAGGAAAATAGTAATATATAACGTATTTTACGGAAGTAACAATATTAAGGAAGTGAATAGTTTTCATTTTATTTTTCCGTTTGTAGAAAATGTCTATTCTGATTCCTTGTCAAATTTTTACCCTATGTGTAATATTATATAGAAACCTTTTACACTGCGACAATACTTTTTTTCCTTTAAAACTGGTCATATAACTTTATTATTACAATCACGCGTCGCCAAATCCTTTCCATTGTCAAAATCACTTAAGCCCTTACTTTATTACATACACACACTACTTTCGTGAGACAGACTGTGTGCGTACATGCTACACAAAAGAGAGAGACGGCCATAATTTATCAATGCAGTACTCAAAGTACAATTTGCGCGTAGAGTACGGTCCAACTAAAAGGTTTCGACTTTTATTTTTACGGTAATGCGTATTCTTCAGTGCGACTTGTTTGACTGGTTGTTCTGCTGTTCGAGTTTTATGAAAAGCATAATTCTTATGAATATTGGCCTATTCCGGAAAGCGATGGCTTTTTGGGAGAAATATGGCGGATAAGCATGCATTTGTGGCTTTAAACGTCGGATGTACATCGATGATAAAACATATTTTATACATGAACTTGTTGTCATTTGGTTTGTAAATATATGCAAATGTGTTCAAATTACTATTAGATTTGTGAAGTAAAACCATTTGTATAAATAAAATAAGAATATTACCATAATAAATATTATTAATGACGTAAACTATTTCAAAGTTTCTGAAAAGATGATTGTCGCCAAAAGTACCTGAAACAAAACAGAAACAAAACTTACTTTTATATATATATAAAGATATATTATCAGTATTAGAATAAGAATTATAAATACTGTACAATGACATGATGATTTCTATATAGAAAGACTCGCGCCGTTAGGAAATGCTCTTTCTACTTAGGTCTCATTAATTTACATGCAGCTACGTACTGATAATCAGTTCGTAGCTTTTTCGTAGCAAAGTACTACTTGGCGTAGCGATAGAATTATTCTACAAGTTACAACACGTTTCAACCATACATTATGTATTATAAACCTATATGTATTGTAGAATGTTAGTACCTACTTTTGTGTATATCGCGAGAGGAGTCTTAAGTAGAGATATATTTGTTTCGCACTAGGATTAAACCTGCAACTATCAGGGGGTGTGAAGCAGTATTAAATCATTGCACCAAAAAAGGCTGTCAAAGCAATTAACTGAAAACTTATTAGAAACAGTGTGACTTGTCTGGAATTTGACAAAATAATTTGATGTTTTGGGTACAATTGGGAGATCATGCAATTGTATATAGGAATTAGCAGGGTCAACCTATACATGGTCACATGGACTCCAATATGAGCCTAAAACATTGACTTAGTGTTTTGAATTCAACGGGAATGCGACCATGTCTATGATAGTTTATTTTAAGATTTGTGTACTTAATGTTATCACTATATTCTTATTTATAAAGAACCTCTTTGTAGTTCATTCATACATTTTAAGTGC